AGGCGGCTTCACCCGTCAGTGAGCGTTGAACAGGAACAGGAAGCGCTAAGCCAGGATGGCTTTATAACATTTGAAAGGGATAGGGAGATAGAAGGAACAGTGTCCAACCACTTGGACGATCGGGAATTGAGTGCCACTCCTGTAAGGAGCGAGGATGCCACTCTGCCGACCAGTCCACCATTAATGTTCGAGTTTTTTGTCATATTCAACACATCCTCCTAAGATAGTATTTGTAGCATATATGTGGTCAAACACACTAAAATGAACTGTTGCAGCCGACAATATTAACGTTTTCTTCGCTTAAATTTTATAACGAGCAGAGATAACCAGCCGAACATAAACATTTATAGGCCTAATATAGCACATAAGATAACGTATGTTAGGTTAGGTTAGGTTAGGTCCTTCAGTTACTTGTCCATTTTCTTATTCTGCAATTTGGACGAATTCAGGAATGCAAAATGTTTTTTTTTTTTTTTGTGGGTACAACTGCCCAACTAGTTGCTATAAGTACTATCATCATTTGAGGATGAGTTGTTATATTTGGTCTTGTTGTAGATGGAGGTGGCTTCCCTGACTTCTTCTGTGCATTCCACTTGCTGAACACTCGTACAAGGAGTGAGTGTTTCCTTGTGTCTCTCAGACCACCTACCTCCACTTGAAGACTGTCTCACTCGTTTCTTGTCTCTCTTTTTCCGTTCTGAGACGTTCACATACTCTTCCCAAACCACCAAATTTCCCTCAAAGACAAAATATGATGAACAGCCTCCTAGACCAATTGAAGAGTTCGTTCACTTGGGTGTCATCGAGTCTTGAAAGAATATTCAGATTTATTTTCGCCACTGAATATGGACATCTGCAGCTGTTCTGGTTCGGTCTTGGGCTTAGTGCCTATCACCCTCTTGAGGGGTTATTAAGGCAGCCACAACAGTTTACTGACCAACCAGCAAAGTTACTTTACTCCTGAACATTGTCCAGGACTAAAATAAGCTCTTAGTGTATATACAACGAGAAGCTGATTACACCTCTCAGAGTATATATCCCTATAGGGCGGCTGCTTCTACTGTTGCTGCGTGTATTGTGTTTCTACAGCTGCTACAGCTGTTACAGTTGCTACAGCTGCTGCATAAAATGTAGATTTGACTCCAGTGGAAGAAAATGAAAGTGACAGGCAAAGTATTTAACAGGAGAGAGCACCAAGCCAGTGTGACTATTCAGCACTTGGAAGGGATATGAGGACAAGGATCTGGGATAGGACGGAGCGAAGGAACGGTGCCCATCCGTTTGGATTGTCAGGAATCGAACGCCGGTCTACAATAAGCGAGGCCGTCCCTGTACCGACCAGTCCAAGTAGTTCAATAATGAAAGAGACATTATAACTACTTCCAGGAAATCCAGAATGCGACAGATAATTAAGATTGCAGCCGGAAAAATCCAAGCTGAAAAACGTTTTGGGATAATTCTTTTGCTATTTGACTAACGTTCGGTTGTAACGCGTTCACGATGAGACGATTTGTGCTAGAAAACATGAACATATTCAGAGTAATTGTGTAAGATTTAGAAAAGAAAAACTAGACATTTTTATTATCATTAACCGCTTCCCGGAAATTATAAGTAGGTAGTCACACACACACACACACACACACACACACACACACACACACACACACACACACACACACACACACACACACACACACACACACACACACACACGTGGTGTTTGTTCGTTGCTGCTCCGGTGTTTTTGTGTCCATGTTTTATTTTTATTTCTGCGCGAGTTTTTTTCATATTTTTTTTGCGTTTTTGCGCGTTTTTTGTATTTGTATGTGTGTTTGTGTAAGTGTGTTTGTATAAGTGTGTTTGTGTAAGTTTGTTTGTGTAAGTGTGTTTGTGTAAGTGTGTTTGAGTAAGTGTATTTGTATAAGTGTATTTGTGTAAGTGTGTTTGTATAAGTGTGTTTGAGTAAGTGTGTTTGTATAAGTGTATTTGTGTAAGTGTGTTTGTGTAAGTGTGTTTGTGTAAGTGTGTTTGAGTAAGTGTGTCTGTGTACATGTGAATAACCTTCCAAAGCTTGATAGACCTTAAGCCCAACACCAAATCAAAGTAAACGTGAACAAAACATTCAAACGATAGTTAAACAAAACAAAAGAAGATAGGTATGCGTCACACATCATTAAATGGTTAATTAGCCACGGACACAGCATAGGGTATGGGTGCGATAATCACTCGCCGTTCTCACAGCAACGGCAGCATCTTATTGTTTCATTAAAAACAGGTTATCATTGATGCCTTTCACCCCGGATGTTGCACTTGCCCGGGGGAAGGTAGAGGCGCAGGTGGCGTCATGGCAACCAGGCAATCCCAAGCTTTTTTCGCCCCGTGGCAACGTTTTTTATGCTGCATGGCAACTTTTTATGCCCCCATGGGCACCCACTCACTCTCAGAGTTAATCGATCAATATCTTCTACATCCGTGGCAACTATATGATGTTATGACAACGGAAAGGAGGTTGACATAGCGAGCATGACCCCACGTTAATTAGCCAGTATCTTGACTACCACACCAAAATCCAGGAACATTAATCTCCAAGACATATTTCCAGGGTTTCCAGATCATGGTGATTCTAATAGCACTTCCACACCCATGGCAACTTCTGCCACGTCCACACCCACGGCAATTCTGTCACCCACCATGCCCACCATCCGTCTCAAACGCCACACCCTGAACAAGCCTCAAACCCTCCCGTCACACTCTTTGGCACAGTGCCTTCAGTGCCCCGGGGGGACGTAGCCCCCCGGGGTTACGAAGGCACAGAGGTATGTGTCACGGGAGGTCAAGGTGTGGGAGCTGGGCGGGGCATAAGGTAGCAGCAACAGCCTGGTCGCCTAACCCCGACCTGGCTACGGATGCAGGTGGGCTTAAACACCATCAGGTTGACAGGGCAGAAGCAGGTCGGGTATATAACGAGTGATAGGGTCCAGGTAGAGCACATTCGCACCTCCGTCAGCGTCCCTACTGCTACCATGAAGGTACCGTACTTCTTCAGATACTCAAATATGTTTGACAGGCCAGACCACACACTAGAAGTTGAAGGGACGACGACGTTTCGGTCCGTCCTGGACCATTCTCAAGTCGATTGTGTTTGACAGTTCTTTGAAGAAAGCAGAGCTCTTAGATCCAGGGCTCTTAGAGCCAGAGCTCTTAGGGCCAGAGCTCTTAGAGCCAGAGCTCTTAGAGCCAGAGCTCTTAGAGCCAGAGCTCTTAGAGCCAGAGCTCTTAGAGCCAGAGCTCTTTCATAGAGTGCTTTCATATACAGTTCTTTGATCAATAGAGTTCCTTGACATAGAGAGAATGCTTTGATAGAGTTCCTTGATAGATTTAACTCCTTGTTAGACAGATTTCGCTTATATCCAAGAATTTATTGATACAGGTCACTGAGTAATTGAGCTCAGTGATAGAGTTCTCTAACTGACAGTTTTCCTCATATGAAGCTCTGCTTGATAGATCATTCTCCCTGAATATAAAACTCACCGTGATAAATAGTTCATCTTTATAGATAGTTATTCTTAATAGAAATTCAATGTGATAGAAACTTCACATTGAAAGAAAGTTTTTCGTAGTAGACATTTCTGTTTAATAGATATTTCCCTCTTGATAGATAGTTATCAGTAATAGTTCTGGTTAATAGATAGTTCTCCTTGATTGGCAGCTGATCACAGGTAATTGTTGATAACTATTTAAACCAGAGCGTATTTTTGCGTATTTTCACCTGACAGCTTGCGTTACTCTCATTCTGAGTCTTATTACGCTTATAGTTAGGTTAAACCGTGCAAATTAGACGCATGTCAGGCTGTGAATATGGGGGTGAACAGGTTATTAAAAACGTGCAAATTAGACTCTTGTCTGATCCTGAATACGGTATACGTACGCTTATATCGCTATACTAAAACGTACAAATTAGACGCTTGTATGATCGTGAGACTTATACATGTCCTGGCTCGAGTACTTATATGCCTAGCTTCATCTACTGCCATTGCATCTACACATCCTATACCGCCATCTACTCAAAGCAGTGTAATTGCCAATTACGGCTCGAACTAGTCCCGACGAGTGCCGTAATTGAAGGGCGTCGCCAATTAGGTTGATTTCAGATATATATGCTGCCTCTCATTCTCAACCTTGAGCCCCTGAATCACGCTACAGTGACGGTGAAAGCAATTGGCAAGCACCAACTCCGCTCACTAATTTACATATTATTATGTGGAAATTATACGTTAATATACGGGGCGTCCACAAATAAATCACCTCATTGTTGGTGTCTTTGGGCTTAAGGCCTGTCAACTTTTGGAGGGTTATTAAGGTCTATTGACCTCTGGAGGGTTATTAAGGTCTATCGACCTCTGGAGGGTTATTAAGGTCTATCGACCTCTGGAGGGTTATTAAGGTCTATCGACCTCTGGAGGGTTATTAAGGTCTATCAACCTCTGGAGGGTTATTAAGGTCTATCGACCTCTGGAGGGTTATTAAAGCCCCCACAAAAGCATACTGACGAACCAGCAAGTATACTTTAACTCTGAACATAGCCCAAGTCTTAAGTAAACTCAGTTTGTATACACCATCCTCTACTCACAGGAAAATAGCATCATCTGTGAACCTTGATAAATTCATTGTTATGGTTTACTGAACTGTGATAGTCTATTAGTAAATACACAAATATATTCCTCTGTTTTATTAATTTCAGTTTTAATTAGTTCCTATAATAACGAATTTATTGATGTTTATAACTGGATAAATAATTTGTAAACCCTGTGTACATATTTACATGGAATCAGTGACATTTTCTCTAAACAAGTGGCACCCATAAGTGGGCGTTTACAGTCTCGTGAGAGTGCAGGCCGATGGGACAATGCCATCCTTAAAGGAAATATCTAGGTTATGTTGAACGATCATATATCACTGTTTAAATGATCCATTCGAGAATTATACCTCCGCAGGTCGTGTTTCTCCTGCCTGTGATGGCAGCCTCGGTCACTGCCATGGGCGGCCCAGAAGCATTCTTCGGCTATGAACCTGAACCAGAGACTGAGTCGTCCTACACCTCTATCTCTTCCTTCGCCAGGGCGTACAAGCCCCCGACATACTTCAAGCCACTCGCTTCAGTAAAGCCAGTCCCGTCGCTTAATCTTGCTCTACCAACCCAGCCAGTGCCTTTAACTAAGCCATTTCTGCCACCCCAAGAGGTCTTGCCCTTCCAGCCGGCGCCATTAACCAAGCCAGCTCTATCACTCCAGCCTACTCTTGGAGTCAAGTCAGTCCCAGCAAGCCAGATATTAGTATCAAATAAGCCAGCTCCATCATTCAAGCCAGCCCTGTTCTATAAAGTAAGCTTCGTGTCTTTGTTCATAGGAAATGAAATATGATAGTCGGTGAGACGCCAAAGTTGACATCAGTCAAAGTATAATTAACATCTAGTTCACAAACATTGTTATGCAAACCTTTAAACAATTACTGACGTTTTAATGAGGCTTTTAATAAGAGCAGAGTTAACAGATGTTTCATCAGAGGTTTATATTTATGCAGTTTATATGTCGTCATCCGTGGCTGATTTGCTGACAGTGACAATTTGCGCTGCTGAGAGCTGTTAGTAGTGATGTATATATTTTAAGATATAAACTAACCGATTGCAACTCTGTATACACAAGCGTCTTGGAGACCTCAGGAATGAGTCTGTCATTGTGTTTGACAATCATTGTCATACGAAGATGTTTGGCTCAAGGCAGCCTTAGGTTCAAGATATCCAGCGCGTCTTACGTACCTCTGGCAGTCGGAACCAACTAGTTGTGTAATGATAGGGTTGTTGATCTACTGACATCCAACCTATAAATCTGAAAATAGAGGAATTAGCGACGTTTCGGTCCGTCGTGGACCACTGTAAAGCCTTGTAATGGCCAAAGACGGACCGAAACGTCGACAATTCCTTTGTATCAGATATGTGGGTTGGATGTCTCATTTTCAGCTACAGTCTTATGGTCTGTTTTCCCCACAGGTTCCCACCAAGAGGTATAACTTCGACTGGGCCGTCAAAGATGACCTCGCCGAGAACGACTTCGCTCACGAGGAGTCTCGAGACGGCGACCACACCCGCGGGTCGTACTCCGTGCTTCTCCCCGACGGCCGGGTACAGACCGTGACTTATTACGTGAATGGTGACTCCGGCTACGTGGCCGAGGTCACGTACGAAGGCTCGGCCCAGTTCCCTAGCCCCAAGCCTGCATACAGACGCGTCCCAGCCTACGGTTAAACAAGACCGCTTTACAATCAACGAAATAAATCATCGAAATACGGAATAAATTTGCACAATAACAGAAATTGCGGATAATATTATTTGCCTTAATATATAAGCATGAATAAGTATATAGGGGTATCACTGGTGGTGCAATTGTGGGGTCCCATAGTCTTCGAGAAGAAAATTAAAGGTATTCAGGGAGGACCTTGCAGATTCTCCTGAACTCTAAATATCTCTTTATTATCTCACAATAACTTACTTAATAATAGTAAGAAGTAAAAATATAAAGAATTGCAAATATATGAAGAAAATTCCTTTCAAAAACTTTCCAAATGCAGATACACGCTAAAATAAAAATAAAAACTTAATACAAATTACCTTCCATAATATTAATATAAGAAAAATAACTGTATATTTATAACTAACTTACGTATTTAAAAGCATATTTATATCTAGTAATAGTGAAAAATCTTTCATGCAATCTTGGGATTAAATACATCATCAGATTTACAACATGCTACAGTGAGTCAACATATTATTAACAAAACATATTATTTGTTTCATGTGTCAAATCTAAATTTGAAACAGCCCTGCAATGAAACAACCTCAGAGTGAAACAGCTGTAATCTCATACAGCGCCAGTTTTAAACAGCCCTAGAGTGAAACAGCCCAAGGTTTTGGTTACTCAGAAGTAGCGATAACGAAAAGTAGCACATACATTTCACAGGTGTAAAGGAGGAAATGTATATGTTTATCTCTCAGAATGTTCGGTAATACGTTTATTGTTTGTGATGTGTGTCTATGTATGTATTAACACGATGTACTGAAAGGGGTGAGAATAGCTTGAGCTACCTCATCCCTTTGTGTGTATTTTACTTCAATAAACTTATTTCAATTTCAATTTCACAGGTCTTAGCCCCACCCCCCATAATCCCCCCTCCCCTCACCCTCCCCACGCAAGCTCTCTCACGTCCTAGGTATACTTAATATACATGCAGAATATACAGTTAGGAATGTACATACGTAACACAGTAGTATTTATTTATTTATTTTATTTATTTATGCATATACAAGAATGTACATAAGGAATGTGAGAATACAATTATGGTAATTACAGTCTTGTAAAGCCACTAGCACGCGCAGCGTTTCGGGCAGGTCCTTAATCTAAGAAAATTTTAAGGAGGTAAATACTTGCAAAATTTATAGACAAAAAAATGATAACAGATTACATGGAATGAAAAAAAAAAGATGAGAATTCAAAGAATGAAAGAATGAGATGAGATGAGTATTCTATATTCTTACAGAATATTTACCCCCGTAAGCAACCACAGACCAACCCGCTCTTTTCATCTCCGTAAAACAAAACAAAATAAAACATTTATCCTAAACAGAAACGTACGAACCCACACAACCCACCTAACCTTATCGCGTCCGCTGCATAGAAAACGTGAATGCTTGTGAGCCGTTTCTATTCCAAATAAATTGCATTTTGAACGTTGATTACGATAACGTAAGAAATGCGACCTATTTGTTGTGAGGACGGGTTACACCCGATGAACAAGGTCACGATCTGACGCCTTGCATGCTTTACAACTGCCTTGTTACGTCGTGCGATTGCTCCAAATCATGCAATTAACATGGGACGTTCTCATGATGCGCATAAAACAACCTTGGACCCTATTCCAGCTTGGGAGGAGAGGCTGTGGCATCTCGCATCCTGCTGATCAATCATACTATGATGCTAGATACACGTAAGCAAGCTGAGAGCATAACAAAGGTCACTACAGTTAGGTGACATTAGGAAGTGATGTGGTGGAGGCTGACTCCATACACAGTTTCAAGTGTAGATATGATAGACTAGGTGAGTACACACACACGCACACACACACACACACACACACACACACACACACACACACACACACACACACACACACACACACACACACATAGGTGGAAGTTTTGGCGATTTCTAAATCCTGTTAGATTAACAGGACACCTGTTAGTCCTGTCTGACTACCTAAGGGTCACGGTAGTCCTAACCCTACCAGTTTTCCATGTAATACGATCCAACAGACAGTTAACAACCAAGTCCTCAATTACAGCTGCGTGAATAGGGTGAAGAATTGCGAATCGGTGCCCAGTCGACCCTCCCTGGCCATACAGGGCTTGAACTCGGTCGATAATGATCTGCCCTGAAGGAGCGCACCGTAAATGTCAGTGTCATCCCCGACTGCGCGGGAAACCAACTGCATCCTCGGTCATCAACAGAGTAGGGTCTAAAACCTGAGAGAATTATGTACTTCTCTACGTCATCGCTACGTTGTAAATATACTTAACCTAACCTAGTCCAACTTAATCTAACCCCCCCCCCTAACCTAATCTATCCAAATCTAGGCTGGCAGAACTTAACTAAAAATACGAGATAGAATTTTGAGTTTTATATATGGTATGCACGGTGGGTGTGACGTCACATTGACGTCATAATGTTCGTGTCTGTACAGGTTTTGGACCCTACTCCATCAGTCTGGCCGGCTTGCACCTGGTTGGCGGGCGTGTGATGCAACGCCTCAGAGACCCCGGGACTAAACTGACTTTCGCACAACAAAGGAATGCTGTTAGAACCACTTTTTTATGTGAGTCATATATTTTAGCAACACACGCCAGCGTATGTTTTTGTTGTTAGCAGTTGAATATTTCTTCCCATATCTCTCTCTTTGTCTCTGTCTCTTTGTTTCTCTATCTCTCTATGCCTGTCTGTCTCTCTGTAGTAGTAGTAGTAGAACAGAACTAACAGTTATGAACAAGCACTCAACTCCCGTTAACTTGTTTCATTCACGTCTGCAGACTCACTGCTAAGCCTCGAGTGTCTACCTAACAGGATTCATCAAGCATTTACGAAACCTGTGCATCTCTCCATAATCATAGTGACTTTACATTTATTAAACAGTTTACAAGATTGCTGTTGTTATGAGCAACCACGTAGTGCTTCAGAGATCATAAACTAAAAGAGATAAGTAAACTAAGTCATCAGTTTTAGTGGAATTGACAGTCCTCATCAACAAACGTCAAGTGCTCGTTAATCAACCTGGAAGACTCACAAATGATAACGTTCGAACAGTTTTCGAACAGCTTCACTGACGATCTCTGTTCGAATCGCAGCGCTATAAATGCTTCACTTACGTACTTAAAATACAAATAATCACTAACAGAACCGAAACACCGAACCTAACCTAACCTACGGCCAATTCTAGAACTTCAGTATATAATAAAATTCACTACTATAATAGAACACATTTATTTTTAACACAATACATTAGAATTGTCGAACGAATCTTGGGTTCGTCTGCTGCTTTAACGAGCCTAGCTTGAGGACACATTGGCCGTCATGACTGAGGAAAGGTAGCAGTAATTCATTGTGTTGGGGGACAGGCAGCCAGTGTACATATGCATGTTAGGCATTTATTGACGTTCCACCAGGGTTGAATTTCTGACCTTCCCACCCCCACCCCCACTATATCCAACCCCACACTAACCAGACTAACTCCAGTGTACCTATTGACTACTAGGTGAACAGGTGCATTAGGAAACGCACACAAATGATTGTTGAATATTGGCCCAGAAGTATATTAACCGTTAACGTTCATAGGTTTAGTATTTCTCATGTGCAACAGTTCAATCTCTATAGGTCTAGACAATCATCATTTTTTCAGTAGAATCAACAGCATCAACTCTCATGTGCTCAAATGGTTCATCATATCTCAACAACGTGCTGAAGATTTCTCTCAACACACGAAACATTGACAAATTGACCCAAATTCCACTAAAAGTAATCCTAAATCTAATTACTTGGTCGTTTTCCCCCGTGACTGTCCACACACACCTGGCTCCTGCAGATGGCCGTCCCCACACACCAGGCTCCGGCAGGTGACCGTCCACACACCTGGCTCTTGCAGGTGACCGCCAACACACCTGGCTCCTGCAGGGGGTGCAGAGGTCACCGTGCAGGACGCAGGTCACCCACACAATAGGTGGAGCTCAGATCGTGCTCACCAAACCTGACTGACCCTCGTTCCACATCGCTAATTGACGAGGATCTCAAAGCTTTTTTGGACTTATTTCGAAGTGTTCACTTGAAGTCGTTCCTCGACGGCATAGATCAGATTTTCTTGAAGCAAATCTGAATCATACCTGAATCATACTTGGTCACGTTACATCTAAATAATTATGCAACAACCAGAACAAACAACTTCAGATTTGTAATTACCGAACTGCCTGCACTTGTTCCAACATTCATTCTCTCCAGAGCCTTATAGACTGCTATTTCAACATTTGGGTTACCCTGAAAACATACAACATAACGTTTTTAAACATTTCTTACAACATTTTTAAACGTTATTTCTTTATTACAACATTTTTAAAGTTATTATTTTATTGCAACCTTTTTACAGTTATTTCTTTATTGCAATCTTTTTTAAACTTTATTTCATTGTAACTTTAGTTAAATGCTATTAAGTTGTTGCAATATTTTCTAAACGTTGTTACTTTTTCACGTTTCTTAAGTTATTACTTTCTTACAAAGTTTCTAAAAGTTATGGCGGTTTCAGCTTTTATTAACGTAAAAGTAGCAGAAAATAGGGTTGTGGTAATGTTGTGTTGGTGTTGGTTTAGGGACTCACAGCTGCAACAAATTGAGTAGTTCAATGCCAGCTGCCTATACGCGCCTCAGAAACCATCCCACCGTGTCAACATAAACATTAAGCTGAGTAGAGGGTGTGGAGAACACCATTGACCTACATGGTGCAGATGTTTAGTGGCAAGGACTTCAGCTAGGCCGCTACCTGTTTGGTCTCCAGCCATACCAACCTGTCCACGGAAACACTCTTGACCCCCTGTCAGCCCGCTGTGCTTCCCTCATCCACCTCTACCCACCTACAAGACCTGAGTGCACTCTTATTACCCCTACTACTACTACTCGGCCCACCATCAGGACCTGTGGGCATCTCTATCACACCAAAGGTCCCCAATCTAACTCTCACCACCCACAGTACCCGTGAGTGGGACTCTTGATCTGCTTTACCTGGCCTAAGCAGGTGAGACGTTTTACACTCCTTTATTGCTAATGTGATGTAAGGGAAATATTAGGAGAAATTGCTGAGCCAGTACGACTATATACCACTTAGAAAGGGGAAATGAGGACAATGATTTAGGATATTGACCACTGCACATTCTCTCATGTGTATTATACATATATAAAACGCTAAACTATAATGCCAATCCTGATCTTAAAAGCTTCATAGAAGGTTGTAACAGAACCCATGAGCACCACACCAGAAATAAATACAGTTTTGATATTCCTAGAGTACGTCTTAATCAAACTAGAAATGCTCTGCAAATCAAGGGGCCCAGAATGTGGAATGACCTTCCCAACCATGTTAAAGACTGTACCTCTCTCAACCAGTTTAAGATAAAAACTAAACACTACCTAATAAATTCCCTGTAATCTACCTCACTCCTCTATTGTCAACCCATGTCTGTTATTTTCTTTTTTTTTTTCTTTTTTTTTTAATCAACACTGTTTGTCAACCTATTGTATTTGTGCTGCTTTTTCAGTCATGTTCCCCCTTTTTTTTTTATCTTTATTTGTATTTGTTCTCAACATCTTTTATTCTTTATGCTCAATTAGTATTAAGTTCTAGATATTAATGTTTTTCTTGCCCGAAACGCATTGCGTAATAGTGGCTTTAGGCATTGTATGTACTAGCTCTATCTATATATCAATCCATTAATGTAACATCACTTGTATGTATATACCTTACCTGAATAAACATCTGAATCTGAATCTGAATCTGAATCCGATATGAGGACAAGGAGCTGGGATATAAAGACGGATCTGGGATATGAGGAAATACAGCTGGGATATGATGACAAAGAGCTGGGATTTGAGGACAGAGAGCTGGGATGGCCATAGTTGTACTGACCAGTCCATTAGTTGAGCTTCACATCACATTTATTATAAGAGCGAAGTGAATTAAAAGTTTTGTGCTCCTTCCAAGTTAGCTTGTTTATGTTAGTTATATTTCATTGATAATAATTTGAACACAGATATGAATGTTTAAATTATAAATTTAAACTCCCTTAACCATAGGACTTTGCTTAACACCCAAATGCATCTAATTGACAGTGTTAATTACGAGAGTAACTAATGAACTTGAAATATGTCGCTTCCAAATTGGACTGATATTAGAGCATCATCCTGTACTGTACACTTTCCTCGTGGCTTCGACAAGGTTCGGAACTCTCGTCTCACTTTCTAACTCTTAATCTCTACTATTTTGGGTCCGCGAAGGCAATTTTGTTCTATTGTTTGTCGTGTATATATGATGGGTTATTTATCCATAAAGCCATCACAGGTACAATATCAGTGGTAGCAGCAATAGCTCTTGATGACTGTGATTACTGCTGATTAAAGGATGTAGTCAGATGCATTGTCATAGACACAATTTGGATTTATCCTGATTCAATTTGTCTATACCAGATCCTATCACGACTTGATCACTTATATGTAATAGGAATATATATTAGTATCTGATTCTTTACTGGTTTCGCAACTCTCAATTTCCAATCTATTTCTTTGTAATTTAGGTCCCCCATGACTAGCAGTTTTGATCTCAATCAGTGTGATGCTGTTGTTGCTTTCTGTGGTTCTTCTATGAATGCTTTGATGTCTTCGTATTCCTAGATGGAACTTCTGTTATTTGCATCAAGGGTTGTAAATTACCAGGACCAGTATCTTTTCACCATCTGCTGTCAGAGTTCCAGTGATGTAGTTTATGTATTCATAAGTATTTCCATCTTTTAGTTCGTCAAACTACTAGTTTCGTTTTACTAGGTGTCTGTTTGCCTTTCTTATTACTGAGTATCCCTCCTGAAAATATTGCATCAGAGATCATATAATTTTTGTTAGTTTCCATTATTGCAATCATATCAGTTTTTTCCACTAACCCTTTATTTTATTAACCTCTGCTTTGCTTGTAATTACATCAGCATTGGTATACCATATCCTAAGACCCATATCCTTGGACACTTCTATGTAATAGGATTATCAGTTTTCCTGAATTCTCATATCATTCCTGTATATTTGTTTCTTCTAATGTAGATGACAATTGAGAAATGGAAAAAATCCTGTGTGATGAGAGGTTGTGAGACAGAAAGATAATAGTGAGAGAGATGCTGTGTGATACAAATACGAATACAGTAACTGATAGGAGAGAGGTTGTGTTGTGAGCAAGGCAGAGATTGGTATGTAGTGAGGGGCTGGGAAAAGGAGAGCTGAGAGCCAAAGGGAGGGGCGTCTGAAAGGGAAAATTGGGCTGAGAGATAGAGGGGAAGAAGTGAGCATGGAACAGTATGAAGGCAGCTGGTGGCTGTTCATGTGTGTGTGTAAGTTTGTGTATGTAAGCATGTAAATGTGTGTGCAAACATACAGGTATTCAACAACTTAACAACCAAACAATAGAAATAGAATTTTTTCGCCTTCTGATGCTCTACATCTTAACCACACCTGCACCAAATTCTCACCAAACCTACGCCATAGCTTCAATTTATTTTTTATTTATTTATATACAAGAGGGTACATTGGGGGGTTAAGAGAACATAGAAATGAAGTTGATTTTACATTCTTGTAAAGCCACTAGCATGCATAGCGTTTCGGACAAGTCAGTATAATATTTACTGTATATAACCACTGATGGTTAAGTGACCATTGACTAGTAATATTTACTGTATATAATTATTGATGGTTTGGTGACCATTAATTAGTAATAGTTGTAAATGAGTTACAGTATTTATGAAACATTTATTATAATAATTTCTCATGAATTTTTTAAATTCAGTTTGTTGTTTCTCCAATTCCTATAATAACTAGGAATAAGAACTTAAGCATACCTGGGTCAAGCTCTGAAAAATTCATCGAGGATATATAAACAATATTACATGAAACACATTTGTTTATTAATTACAAGAACACTCCTAGTTGCAGTGACTGGATAGTGACATTGTAGAGGATACTGTCAAGGAAGTCAAATAACACTCCTAGTTACAAAGAGTGGACAGTGACCTTGTATGTAGAGAGAACTGTCAAGCAAGTTCTGTAACTCCTTGTTATAGTGAGTGGACAGTGACAATGTATGTAGAAAAAGCTATCAAGTAAGTTCTATAATTCTCATAATTACCATAAGTGAACAGTGACTTGTATGTATAGAGAACTGCATAGAAAGTTCAATATAAGAATTAACAGGTCTAAAGGCCCAAATATTACAATTTATTAAAACTATAAATAATATAAATTAATAACAAAAAGTAACTCTTTATTATTCACAGCCATCAAAAAACAAGAAATCTAACTACAATTAAAATCAATATTGGCTACTTCTGTACCTGGCAACATATAGACATACTGCATAGCCTTTAATAGCAGCCAACTGCAGTACTACCAACTCCACACAACTATATATTAAACAACATTTAAACTTAGCCTTATACTCTCAAATTAATATCATATACTGTACATTAAAAAGTAGATTTAAATTATAAATGATCATTTAGAAATAATTACATGAATAATATCAGCAATTAAGCCTAGGTTAGGCCAACCATCATGAATTAAATATTAACAGGATAATACAAATTCAGGATCAGGTTAATATAATGTTCTCAGGATAATACAAATTCTAATATACATTTTTCTAGTACAAAACAAATTCTGGAATTGGGATAATGTAAATAAAATACCTGGCTGAAAGAAGTGATAAACTGTATTCTGGTCATTCATATTAACAAAGAAAAATAACACGTCATAAAAATAGTTCTTATTAGCAGTACTGAAGTAAAAACTCAATAAAAAATAAAAATTAAATAAAATTAAACATGAAACAATTTAATGGGTGCATATAAAAATATTAATGAGTTTCCAGTTCCTGAATAAAAATCACTTTATATTATTGCTGTCAATAAAATGGCTCATTTTGTGTACATCTCAAATTGTTTTTGTTTTTTTACTCCCTGCCTAAATCTTAATTAAATGTTTAAAAAATAAAATGTCCTTATCTTAGTAACCAAAGGCTCTATGATAATTTAAATAAATTTCCTAATGGGACCTAATTTGAAAATACTAAAAAATATTAAAAAGGCTGGAACTTTGCTGGAAAATGCGAATTTGAGTTTTCGATTAACACCTTTTCTTGTGATAATTTGGTCTATAATGGGCAATTAACTTTTACTAAAAGAAGATTAAAAATAACTTAAATACCCCCAGCTGCAGAGCTTTACCTTCCATAGCCAGGTATATTTCTCACACAAAACTATGAAAACAAACATATCTTTGTAGGCCATCCAATTTTTGTTGGATATCCAACTGATATAGCTTGGTTTTTTAAAGATGAAGCTCATTTTCCAATTAGTGTATTGGATTAGTAGGAAGTTAATGTCTTGATATGAATTTGATAAAATACTGTACTGCTTAAATGAATGCTATTCAAAATATTATTCAAAATATACACCATTCACTGCTTTTTTAAATTAATTTGGTTATCAAGATTTTTTCCACAAGACAAGACACTAAGCCAAGTCAGGTTTATCACTTGGATGCAATAACATGATGTGTTTTCTCATACTACTACTTTGCTTGAACCTTTTTCCACACTCTGGACAAGCATGAGGTTTAACACCAGTATGCACTAACAAGTGTCTAATTATATTGCTACGTTCTCCAAATCTTCTACCACATTCGGCACATTCAAAAGGTTTCCTTCCTGTATGCAACATTATGTGCCTCTTTAGACCTCCAGTATAACTGAATCTTTTCCCACACTCTGGACACTTGTGAGGTTTTTCCCCTGTATGCACAAACATATGCCGCTTCACATGTTTAAGATGACTGAAACTTTTCCCACACTCTGCACATTCGAAAGGTTTCTGGGCTGAATGCACCATCATGTGAGTATTCATATTTCCAAGATGACTGAATCTTTTCCCACACTCTGGACACTCGTGATGTTTATCCCCTGTATGCATAATCATGTGCTGCTTCAAAAATCCAAGACGACTGAATCGTTTCCCACACTCTGGACACTCATGAGGTTTATCCCCTGTATGTACAGCCTTGTGCCTCTTCACATCCCCAAGAAAACTGAATCTTTTCCCACAATCTGGACACTCGTGAGGTTTATCCCTCGTATGCACAACCATGTGCTCCTTCACAAGTCCAAGACGACTGAATCGTTTCCCACATTCTGAACACTCATGAAGTTTATCCCCTGTATGCACAACCATATGCCTCTTCACATCTCCTTGATGACTGAATTTTTTCCCACATTCTGGACACCCATGAGGTTTATTTTTCGTATGCACAACCATGTGCTGCTTCACATGTCCAAGACGATTGAATTTTTTCCCACACTCTGGACACTCGTGAGGTTTGTCCCTTATATGTGTAACCATGTGCTGCTTTATAAGCCTAAGATTACTAGATCTTTTTACACGGTCTGCACATTTTAAAGTTTTTTGGCCCGTATGCATCATTTTGTGGCTCTTTATAGTTCCATATTAACTGAATCTTTTCTCATACTCTGGATACACATTATGATTTGTAGAGTTATATGAAAGTTATTTCCTCTTCATAACTTTGGAATTGTCTTGTGATATGTGGCATCTTTTGAAGATGGAAGGATAATTAAGTAAGTGGTCTTATATTTCACCTTATGGTTATTTTTTACAGTCCAGGACAGATAGCCTGTTAAACTATAATAATTACACCTTGGCGTTATCTTATGTTTTGAGTGTGTAGGTTATCAACATTAAGCGTTTCCTGGAGAACCAACATTAAGCAATGTTCCCTTCTTTATGGTACGTGAAATATTGTTTTCTACCGTTATCTTCTTTTTGGTGGTACGTGCAGTTTGCATGAAGGGTTTGTCCTTCCGATGACTGCACCGAAATGATGTTGGTGATGATGATTTAGGGACGACGACGATCAATCGAATTGATGTCAGTGATGCTGTTGTTATGATGAGTCGGTCGTTTATGTTCCTGTGTCAATCTCCATTTTCTTTGATTTCAAATGTTTGGATAAACCATAATATATTTGTGTCATTTTTTAAATTAATAATGTCTTTTACCTGTATTTACATGAGGGACATTAACTCTAGCCTGCGTAAAATAATACATTTTATCGGGGACAGGCAGCCTGCGTATATATTTACGTTAGGCATATATTGAAATAACTCCATAGCCGAAGTATTGACCCTTCCCAGGATACAGTTCCACAACAGTTATAATTAATAATAATAATATAATTAATTTTTGTCTGGGGATAGCAGCCAGTATATAAAATTCATATATATAATTAGTGTATATTTATATATATTTATATATAATTATAGTTATATATTTACATACATTTACAGTGTATATAATTATATGGGAATATATCCATATTAGCCTTATATCGAAGAAATGAAATCGAGACACTGAGATATGAAGTTAGTCAAAGAGCCGGAATATGAGGACAGAGTGAAAAAAACTGGTGTCCAACCGTTGGACACCTTTCCAACCCTCTTTGTGTTTATTGTTACCATACTTTACGTAACAATAGAACCGTTACAGACCAACGGGGCTCGAACACCAACCATGCAAGATTGTCGCTCTAACGACCACTCCAAGAGGATTGTCACGGTGTGTTGTGGGGGGGGGGGTGATGGGAGTTCACTCAGCTAAATTACAGTCGTGGTGCTGTAACCAGAAAGAAGATCCGCTAGTGATGGATTTTACAGTTTAATAGTCTTGTAATGAATGAGAAAATTATCTATACACGAAGGTACATTGAGTTTATGAGAGTGCATAGCATTGATGTTTTTACATTTTTGAAAAACCACTAACACGCATAGCGGTACTGGCAGGTCCTTAATCTAACAGATAATTTTATGTAGATAATTCTTTGCAATATTAAGAAATGTTAACAGATACGTTGTAAGAAAATTTGACGAAGATTAGTAGGTGCATTATACTGTATATTATTGACTAACTACCAAGTAAACATAGTCCAGGATTAAAATAAACTCTCAGTGTATAGACACACCGAGAAGTGGAGTGCACCTTTCAGTGTACATCTCAATCTTTTACACAGTTCATGCCAAAAATGTAAGTTTTATTTAGAACGCTGCACACCAGTCTAGTCCAACTATTAGGATAATGATTGGTTCAAGTCATTACGAGTGAAGATTCTGATCCTGACGTAAATTACAAGAAATACAAATAAATTATACATCTCGTCCTTCTTTACAGTTAAATCAAGGCCAGCGTTACATGTCAACACCGCTCGTACGGGTCAAGTGAGCAGCGAGATCAAAGATATACCATTTACAGAATCAGAACAATCGGTCGCTGGTGTTATGGACGCTGGGCTGAGGTCGTCTTGAGCAACACGACCAACCCCGCCCACCATCGCCACCCACAACTGCTGTGTGGGTAGGTGGGTGGGCTCGAGGAGGGTCGGCAAGCAGAATAGGAACGAACGAGGGTTTATGGATCTGATTGCATGAACACAGTAATGCCGTCAAGTGACCTGGGCAAACATAGCGATCTAAGAAAGTTAAACCTGATAATATAACCAAACATACACGACCCATACAGACCATAACAGAGTATATCAGAAACATCGTAACACTTCAATACCACGAGCCTTAAGGGTCGAGGCCACATATCCAACAAAAATAGATTGCAAGTTGTGAGCCAAACCAAAGCCACCATAATAGCTTATCAACTTCTGGAGGGCTTTTAAGGCCACTACAACAGCTTATAAATCTCTTGAGGGTTTTTAAAGCCAATCTTCGCTATATATAATCTTTACTACACACACAGTCTCCATTACACATAATCCACACTATAAACAATCGTCCCCACAAACAATCTCCTTTACACACAATCTTCATTATCATACAGTCTTAACCCAGGCTACCATCCTCATTAAACCCTTTCAGTAGTGTGAAATGAACTGAATCAACTCGAAACCTTTAGCAGAGTTGTCTGCTTTATCACAAGGCCAGACTCAAGTTTTTGGCACCAAGCTTTTTTAACCGAGTTCCATAAAAATGTATCATTCTTATTATTTAAGTAAGTTACTCATATATCAAATATTTTTACTGATCATTATTTTATAATTACTTTTGTTAATTAGAATTTAATTTGTTATATTTATCTATATCTTGTTTTATAATATATTGCATTAAGTGCGCCTCTGTGTGATATTATAAGAATATAACAATTATATAAATTAAACTATCTAATAGGACATAACAATAAATTTATTTAGCATCGTTGTGAAAGTATTCTGTGTTAAAGGTTAAAGAAGAAATTGGTCGACTAATAGACTAGTCTTGCTGGATTAAAAACTTACGTGTGATTTATTGGCCTCAAATCCAACATCCAATGGAAGGTAAGGTTATAAGGGTAAATTAACTGTGCACTTCATTTTTCTTTTACAGTATAGTACACAAGGGATGACTCCTCCATATCTATGTAATAATAAACAGGGCGTTTTGCCTAAAGACCTTGTATATGTTGCTGATCATACAATCCAAAGAGTGAGACCTTTATTGGTGTGAGTTGGTATTGGTGTGAGCAAGTATTTACCTCCGTAAAATTTTCTTAGATTAAGGACCTGCCCGAAACGCTGCGCGTGCTAGTGGCTTTACAAGACTGTAATTACCATATTTGTATCCTCACATTCCTTATGTACATTCTTGTATATGCATAAATAAAAATAAAATAAAATAAGTTGTAAGGCTTTATAATCAATCACAAAGCGGACAGATGAATGCTCTGAAGGACCTTTGCAGAACATTCTTGAAAATCCCATGTTATTTCCATGATTGACACCAACATAACCAGGACTCACCAAGCATTTGCACAACCATTTAAAAAAAATACATCACATGTATTAAACAGTTTACAAGCACGGAAACTTCACAACCCAACGTCATTGTTATGACCAACCTCGTAGTGTTTCGTATCTCATATATTGCTTAACAACAGTAAAAAAAAGCCACCATGATTGAGGAATGATGTATAGGTTTCATAAGTGGTTGCGTAAATGCTTGGTGAATCCTGACCCTTTAAAATACGTCGATCTCTCGTAGTCTCTCCTAAAAGATAGAATGCACCTCGCAAGCTTACTGAGGACTCCAAGGTTGTCAGTCTTGCAGTGGTCGAGTGCATGCTAACTTGTGTTATAAGTCTCTGGTCTCCGTGGTGTAGTGGTAAGACACTCGCCTGGCGTTCCGCGAGCGCTATGTCATGGGTTCGTATCCTGGCCGGGGAGGATTTACTGGGCGCAATTCCTTAACTGTAGCCTCTGTTTAACGCAACAGTAAAATGTGTACTTGGATGAAAAAACGATTCTTCGCGGCAGGGGATCGTATTCCAGGGACCATAGGATTAAGGACTTGCCCGAAACGCTACGCGTACTAGTGGCTGTACAAGAATGTAACCTGTATGATTGAATGTAACCTAATGATTGACAAATCTCAAAAAAAAAAAAAATAAGTTAGTTATGGCCTAACTCTTGGAGTGAGAGAACGTGTTTCTATACGGAGATAGTCCTAGTAGCTGAGGCTAGGAATGGGTGGGCCGTGGTGGGGCGGCAGAGTTATGTAAGTTGGGCCGTGGTGGGTCCAAGGTGAGGCGGCAGAGTTCTGTGAGGTGGGCCGTGATGGGTCCAAGGTGGGCGCCAGAGCTCTGGGAGGTGGGCGTGGCTCTAGCCTGCAAAATCTGACCGCCGCCGCCCACCCTACTTTCCCTCCCTTGTCTCAAGCTGGTATTTGTTTTTTCTTTTTTTTAGTGAATATAAAATTGTTTGGTGTGATTAGAATTTTACGTTTAATTGTTGTTTTGGTTAAACAAAATTCTTGAGATCTTCACGTGTCATTCGGAAACAAGAAATACAACTAAATGAATGCACAGAGGTACACACACACACACACACACACACACACACACACACACACACACACACACACACACACACACACACACACACACACACACACACACACACACACACACACACACACACACACACACACACACACACACACACACACACACACACACACACACGCACGCACGCTAAAGACTAAAATAAAGACAGGCTATTTAACACAAGGGGAACACGCACAAGGGGACACAGGTGGAAACTGAGTACCCAAATGAGCCACAGAGATATTAGAAAGAATTTTTTTAGTGTCAGAGTAGTTGGCAAATGGAATGCATTAGGCAGTGATGTGGTGGAGGCTGACTCCATACACAGTTTCAAGTGTAGATATGATAGAGCCCAATAGGCTCAGTAACCTGTACACCAGTTGATTGACAGTTGAGAGGCGGGACCAAAGAACCAGAGCTCAACCTCCGCAAGCACAAATAGGTGAGTACACACATATATAGATATGATAGAGCCCAATAGGCTCAGGAACCTGTACACCTGTTAAGTGACGGTTGAGAGGCGGAACCAAAGAGCCAGAGCTCAA